TAACCCAATGGATAGAATATAATATAAATCATGAAGATTAATAAGGGCTTTGTTAATGAAAAATAAAAATTGCTTTATTAATAAAAAATAAAAACTCAATGGACAAATTATAATGTAAATCATGAAGATTAATAAGGATTTTGTTGATGAGAAATAAAAAATAAAAAATACTATGTTGATGGAATATAAAAATTGTAAGAACAAAATACTCAATTAAATGATAAGTCACTAAATTTTCGTTAATTTTTTTTAGTAATTGAATATCAGTTTCACTCTTTATGTTAGTTCCAGCCCAAATGTAAATATCAATTAAATATTTTATGACTTATATTAATTCTAAATCAAATTATAAATATTAATTAAATTGGTAATAAGGACTTTGTAGATGAAAATTAAAAATTATAAAGAAAAAAAAATCAATTGAATATTAGTCATCGAATTTTCATGTGTAATTTCTTTTTTATTCATCGAATGTCCTCAATAATATATTAATACAATCTTTGAAATATTTGTAACCTCAATTAAATAATAACTTAATAGATAAATTATAATGTAAAGCATAAAGATTAAAAATTGCTCTGTTGATGAAAAATAAAAACTTATTGCATGAATTATAATGTAAATCATGAAGATTAATAATGGTTTTGTTGATAAAAAAATAAAAATAGATTCGTTGGTGGAAAATAAAAATTTGAAGAATAAAATGGTCAATTGAATGGTAAGTCATTGATTTTTTTCCTTTAATATAATTGAATGTTAGTTTCACTCCTTATATTAATTCCAATCCAAAATAATAAATATCAATTATATATTTCACTCTTTATATTATATTAATTTTAAACCAAATGATAAATACTAATTAAATTCATATTCCAATTATGAGGGTATAGTTGGCATATGGTTAAATATGCCGAGGTAAATTTGGTATTTAAAAGTTTCTCCACCATCCCCGCTTTTAATATATTGTAGAAAAGTTGAAAAAAAAAATTGAGTTTACGTATAAAATATTTTATTATATCAATGAGTGATTAAAAATGAGCATGAAAAATAATTTTTTTTTCTTTTTTTAAAGGGAGATAAATAGAGGACTGATTAATTTCAAATTTCTAGTTTGCAATAGAAGACATTTTTAAAATTTAGTAGCCAAATTTCGATTATATCAAAGTTCAGTTGCCAAAGTTTGACCATCTGAAAGTTTAGTGAACAATAGAAGACAATTTTCAAAATTTAGTGGTCAAAATTTGATTATGTCAAAGTTTTAACGGTGTAATGGGGCACCATATATGCTTTCCGTTAGCCACGTAATATATATATATATAGTATGTTTTTTAAAAAATCAAGAGTATGGTTACAATTAGTTCTTCGGTTTCTTTTTGGTATATATATATATATATATATATATATATATATATATTTTGGACTTATTTGTATGTTTTTTAAAAAATCAAGAGTATGGTTACAATTAGTTCTTTGGTTTCTTTTTTGGTTTTATTTAAGTAGAAGGTATATTCTTCATTTCATAACTTTTTATTTAGAAATTGGATGGAAATTGATGATTTCTGTAATAGAAGGTGGAAATAGGGGTAAAAGAGCAAAAAATTGAAACATAATGACGTTTTCACAATGAACTCCAAACATAGGGACTTTTTAAGATAATAACCCTTTTATGTAAACATATATACAAAATGTAAAGTAAATTTTGGAATAATTACTTTGTAAATCATATAAAAAAATTTACTTTTTTTTATCTGTAATGTAAGATTAGGGATGTAAATTGGGCTCACTGGTTCGAGCAGTACGGCTCGTGGCTCAAAAAAATCTAGCCGACGCTCGAGCTGATCAACAAGCCACATGGGCTGGCCCCAACCAACAAAAAAAAAGGAAAAAACTCATAAAAGTGACAGCAGATTTGCTGCCAGTTAAGTTGCCTTAACCAGCAACAAATCGGCTGCCTATTAAGGTAGGCAGCTACACATAGCTATCTTAACACATGCGGCAATTTAATTGTGTATGAAATTTGAATTTCAAATTTAGTTTAAATGATTTGATTTTTTTGGTTATAAATCGAAGTTATATTTCTCTATCTCATATCAATTTTCTTCAATCAATTTTAACTTGCAATACTCTATTTCAAGTTTCAACTTCAAACTTTAATTTCTTTACTCTAATATTCAATGTTTTTACCCTAATGTTCAATATCTTTTGTTATTATAATTATAGAATATAGATGGATATTACTAGTGATGAAATTAATCAGTTTAAGGGTAGATCGAATATTCTAGCTGGCTACTATGCATCTCAAGTTTTCCAATTGAGTTGGAGGATATCAAAGAGGAAGAAGTACTTGAGACTACTAAAAAGTCGAAAAAAGAATCCTTATATTGTTGGCAACATATGACGCATAAAAAAGTTGGTGTTCAAAATAAAGTTGATATTTGAAAAGCATATTGCAATTATTGTGTCAAAGAACTTAGTTGGAATCCCAGTTTAACCACAACACATTTGAATAGGCACATGTTGATGAGTTGAAAAGCGAAATTAGTCAGTCTTGACCCGAAACAGACCGGACTAGTGTTTGTTGGTTTCGGTTATACTCTTTCCACCTTTATATGTTTATAGGAAAGATTTTGTAAAGGAATTTATGCATTCGTGATTGCAACAGAGAGGTCGCTTATGACGGACCCTTGACTTATTTTAGCTTGCATAAAAGCTATTATAAAGGGGATTTCAAATTTCGTGAATTTGGAATTATCACGTGTGCATATAGAATCTACATTATGTGAAATATATAATTATTATGCTGAAAAATGAGGTCAGGGTAATTCTAATTCCAAAGTTCTTTTTCAAGAAATATTTCAATAAATTCAGATGATTTATAGAATTATTTGGACACCAATACCAGTGTTCTCTCATTTAGTTATAGCTTATCAATATCTAGAGCGATAAAATATTAATGGTATGAATCTTGGAATTCCCTTTGAGTTAGCTAAGTATATGTGCGTGGACGTTCGTAATGTGTTATATCCAAAAGAATTACAGAAATTTAATCTTTTATTATGGTGAAGGAGTAACGAAAGACAATATTCAAATGTAGCAATATTTGCACATGATCTACTTACACCTCCAATATTTACGTTGGCATCAAAGGTTGCATTTAGTTTAGGTGGTTGAGCTTTATTAGATGAAAATTAAGACTAAAAGAATATATATTGGAGGCTTTAATATGTTTAAAAGATTGGGAATGTATGAAATTATGTATTTAAGAACAAGTTGACAGTATAATGATCGAAGAGTTGTAGTAGATTAAGCACAAAGATATTGTAAGTTTTTTTTTGTGTACAATTTTAGCTCTGCCTATGTTGATTGTAGTCGATCCTAAGCCCCAAAAAAGGAGAAGGATTGTAACTTTTATTTAATTTATAATTTGTAAAAATTTTAATTTTTTAAAAAAAATGTTAGAATTGTTACGAAGTAAAACAAAAAGGAAAAAAAAAACAAAAAACTTGGCTCGGACTCGAAAAAATGCTCAGACAATTTTACTTGAACTGAGCCAGAGCCTCTAGTTTCGACTCGCGAGCTAACTCAATTCGGGTCGTTGACACCACCGTGTAAGGTTAATTTTTTTCCCAGACAGTAAGAGAAAATAGGTTATTTGAACATTTATATAGACAAAAGTTAAATTCACTTAATTATTTGTAAAAGTGAACTAAGGAAGTTATATTATAAGAGTTACTAATAAAAGAGGTTTTTTTTTTCTTTTTAAAAAAAAATTAAGTGTAAGTAAAAATATGTTATCCAAATTGACAAAATTTATTTAATGGTAACTTACTTTCTTAAGCCTAGGAAAAGATTAATATTATAAATCTTTCATTCTCGTACGCTTCTACAATTTTTAAGGATTATTTCGGAGAAGAATCCCTTCCTCCTTGAAATGGACCTTTCTCTGATCATTCAAGTGGGTGGAGCTCCCGCATCAATAAAAAAATTATTCCACCATAGGGAAAATATTGTTGAAGCTCTAAACCTTTGCCTAAAGTACAAATGGACCTCTTGTATTTATTTATTTATTGCTCCGCACTCTAAATCTTTCGGGGGAAAAAAGTGTAGATCATCCAAATGGCAATTAGTTTCATAATGAAGTGCACTTTTCTAAACCATAGAAGGGTAAATACGAAAACACATTTTTCTAAGGGAAAATTGTAATAGCGTTCCCTAATATTTTTATTTTTTTGCAAACTTTATCCTAACTTTTATTTTGTACTAGCGAAGGTTCCTAACTTTTCATAAATATGCACTTGAGATCCATTTAGATAGAAAATCGTCCAAAACACCATCAGTGAAAATTATGGAATCAACATCGAATAAAATCAGCCAAAACACCGTACAAAAACACTGTAAAAGAAGGTATTAATATTCAATAAAATCATCGCGATAGTCGATAGTTCAAGGAATTTTTTCGATCAACTGACGGTGTTTTGAACGGTTTCCATCCAGATGATCCCCGAGTGCATATTTATGAAAGGTTAGGGACCTTCTCTAACATAAAATGAAGGCTATGATAAAGTCTGTAAAAAGTGAAAAAGGTTAAGGACCGCTACTGTAATTTTCCCTTTTTCCAATTAAAAATAAAGCATAAGCAATTGACTAAACACTATTTAGTTTAGCCAAAAAAAAAAAAAAAGGATTTTATTGTAAATTTGATAAATAGGCATTTGTAAAGTTAATAAAAATTGTGGATCTTATTAAATGTTTAATTTGTTAAAAATAAGTTTGAGTGAAAATAAGTTCTAAAAAATGTGGGCCAAACATGAGTTAATAACGATATTATCACAACAAACTTCATGAGTTAAGTTGAAATATAAGTTGATTCATTAATTAAAGGTCTTGAAAGGGAAATAGTTGCAGTCCACATTTACGAATTGGATTATTGGGACTTTTCGTCCACCTCCATTGCGAAATGTTACTAATATAAACTCAACCTTTTTTCACACCAGGCATTCTCAACATTCTGTAAATGCAGTAAAATTCATCCCTATATAGCACAATTTCGGAAAGGCTTCACTGGACATCAGTTCTAACCAAAAATGAAAAAAAGAATAACCATTTAATCCCACTTGTACTCCAAACACGCACAAAACCAGAAAAAGGGGAAAAGAATTATAAATGGTTATAAAGAAACTGGGCTACCGAGTTGGATTACAGAGTATTCCACTCAAAATGCAATACATTTTTCCTTTTTCTATTCCAATTTTGATAAATCTCTTTTGATGAATCCAAATTTTTTTTTATACAACACAATTGTTTCCTAAATCTATACAAACTCTGATGTTTGGTATCTCAAAACTAATCCTGAACTCAACGTACATGGACACGGTTGTGTAAATGACGTATCGACAAACAACCATGAAATAACTCGGAAAAATGACGCTTCTGTGCACCTACAAAAGGGTGAGATAATAGCTTATCAGCCGTCCATCTCGCCTTCGGATTCTTGATTAAGCATTTACTAAAAAAATCCTTGGCGTCTTTGGAAGCCTTACTCGGAATCTTGGGCAATTCTTCACTGCAACCAATCTTGAATAAAACGTCCTCTGCCTTGTCCTCTTTCTCGACTTTCCAAGGTGATTTTCCTGTAATCATATGCAACACGGTGCATCCTAGTGCCCAAATATCCGACTCTGGCTGGTATTCTTGATGGATAATGGACTCCGGCGCCGCATATAGAACAGTACCCCTGAATTCCTTGTTATCTTCGTCATCTTTGATCTTCTTTGCACTCCCGAAGTCGGCCAACTTAGCGATTTCTCTGACCCCCTTCTTTCTTGAAGGTAAAGAATCAGATACTAGCAATACATTGTGTGGTTTTACATCACAATGAACATACCCAAGCCTATGAACATGACTCAAGGCGATAAGCATGGATTTTGTGTGCTGTCTCACAATGTTCTCCGGCAAGCCTTTTCCCATAGTCCGATCTGCTAGACATCCTCCGGCAGCATATTCGAGCAGTATGTTGTATAGTTCATCGCCATCTTCCGTGGTAACATCATCCCCATAACAGTGAAGGATAGATGGACAGCCATTGAATATATCAAGCAACTTCTTCTCTTTAACGAGCGAATCTGATGCAGAAACTTTTGCAGTTTTGACAGCGATAACGTGTGGAAATCGATCGCCATTCTGTTGGAGTACATTGGCTATAGAAACCAGGCCAAACCCTCCTCTTCCGATGGTTTCTCCTCTATTCCAAATCATGTTTCTGATCTATGTTCTTTTTCTTGCTCAGCTCAACTATCTTGAATTCTCCATTGTGGGTGAACGTGACATGATAGTTTATGTAGGAAAATAGATGCTTTTAACCTGGTTAAGAACTTCCGATTTGTATTAGGATTATCAGCTAACAGATAGTAGAAACTGAAGATATGAGTGTAATATATACCCAAAAGGAGGAACTGTAACCTAGTAGGACTATAACTCTTTCTGGATTCTGTAGATTCAATTTTAAGATATATCTTAGTTTTCGGTTGATCAACCCGGCTTTTAAGGTTATTCTAATTATAAACTAATTTCATGTCACTTCTAATTCAATGCATTTTTAAATAGAAATTTTCTTGCATGAGTGGAATGAGTTAGAATGCCTTCGCTCATGTAAATTAGACTAATCCAATTTTAAGGGAATCTTAACTGGACATATTTTAAACCGTTCTTTTTAGCATAATTTATCGTAGTTGAGACAAGTCGTGTTGCCTCCTTATTATTAAAAAGTGTCGATCAGATTGTGTTGATTGGGTATAAGGCCAATTTTAATTTAATTTTAGATTGCCTTTATCATGGCAAGTTGAAATTATGCACAAGTTACATTTTTTGGAGTGTGTCATATTATCATATCACCTTACGTTCATTATTATTATTATTATTATTATTATTATTATTATTATTATTATGTCATGTACTCCTGCTACTTTTGATATCATAAATAAATAATAGCAATAATAAATATAAAATTATCAATTATTAAATTCTATCTCATGCTGTATTAAGTTTTTATACATAGAAATTGTATCAGAAAAGGAAAATAAAGGTCAAATTCGGGAAAAATGATTTTCTTTCAGTTTCCCTCCTTTGTCGAAAAAATAAAAAATCAAATTCAATTATATAAAATGTACTATGAAAAAGGAAACAATAAATTTAGAAATTTTATCCTTTAATGAGCATTTTCCCTTATTCCTCATAGTCGAACTAGGGAATAATTTATTAGATCTACTTTGACACATTACTTATCTTTTAAAGGAATTTAAGAATATGTTCCTACTTTTTTATTTGAATCTAAAAATAGAAATGAGATTTTTATTTTTATTTTTTTCCCATTGAAAACAACCATAATATCAATGGTTAATATCATTCACTATAGCAAGAACAACAAAATGTATCAAACAATGCATCCAAAACAAAATGCATTATTCTCAAGAGCATGAGATGCAAAGGGCCACCCTTTTCCCCTCACAAACAAAGCAACAAGGATCATTGTTGAACTTCCTAAGAATCTCTAAAATATATGGGAAGCACTCTTTAGTACAAATTGGAAGTCCGTTTTTAGTTGCTTTACCTAATTAACACATATTCAATCTAAACACAAAATTATATGGCTTTTGTGTATTGAAATTATTTTAATTTTATTGTGCATGTTCAAGTAATAATTAATCATGGTATCAAAGCCTACTTGGATGTTTGTTACAATGTTTTAACGGTATATGAAAGCTTTTGACTTAATATTATCCTATTTTAAGGGATTCATTTTTTAAGGGACTCATTTTTTTTTAATACTTTCATGTATATTATACTGGATAAAATTATTCAATAAGATTTAAAATATTTTAAATTTTCTTGTCCTAAGTGTTGTTCAACATTATGTAATTTTTCCTATAAAATATGTAATTAATTACATTTCAAAATTTGACTCAAAGATTGGCCTAGAAAGTGTAAAAGTTTAATGAACAGAGGGTCAAATTTCAGTAGAACTAAGGTCCAAAAAGTGTTTTTTTTTTTTTAATATAGAAAAAACTTCTTTTAGGAAAATTGGACTGGTAAATTGGATTTTTTTTCCCCCAATATGCTTTTCAAACGGTTGGTTGAGGGTTAATTATACAAATGTTTAAATACACTGTATCTCAATTTCAAAATTACCTGTGAGCTCACATTTGTATTAAAATCATCCTTGCACTCACAAATTTGTGTTCCTATCTATAAATTAACTTTTGTGAGTCAAAACTAACCGAACATTCCACACGACAAACGAAGCACGCTTACTTATCAATGACATGGCAAACCCATTGGCAGATTAATTTCGTAAGTAATACATGAACTTTACCTCTATTTTTAAACTATACGTGAAATCAACTTTTGAATCAAAATTGTTCGTGAACTTCATATCCACACATAAATGGAGAAAAAAGGGTGAAGTTCATTTACAATTCACATAATTAATCTGATGGTTAATGGTTGACGAGTAAGTTGATTCCAAATAGATTTTTCAATTTTTTCCAAAGGAACAATACATAAATCCTACATATTCTAATGGGTAATGCCATCCTGCCAAGGTCATTTGAACAAACCCTAGCCAAAATACTCTTGGGGAAGGGGGGTGGGTATTTTTTTTTTTTTGGACATTAAAAAATTGGGTGGCCCCTTGCACAAGAGTACTCTGGCCGAGGTATGTTCAAATGACCCTGGCAGAATGACATTTCTTTATTCTAACACATTTCAAACTAACAAACTCCATAAAACATTCAGAAAATTAGGTGATAAATCAATTTATTAAAATTTTAATTATAATATAATATAATTAATCACAATAAATTTCAAATCCAAGTCATTCTCTTTTTCCCACTACTGTCTATCCTCTCTCTACCCCTTCTCCCCATTGGAGGTGGCCATCAGCTTCGGCGAACGCTCCGATGACTACTCCAACAACCTCTCCGGTGATTGCTCTAATGATTTCTCTAACTACCGCTTTGACGACTGCAAGGGTGGGTATTTTTTTTTTTTTGGACATTAAAAAATTGGGTGGCCCCTTGCACAAGAGTACTCTGGCCGAGGTATGTTCAAATGACCCTGGCAGAATGACATTTCTTTATTCTAACACATTTCAAACTAACAAACTCCATAAAACATTCAGAAAATTAGGTGATAAATCAATTTATTAAAATTTTAATTATAATATAATATAATTAATCACAATAAATTTCAAATCCAAGTCATTCTCTTTTTCCCACTACTGTCTATCCTCTCTCTACCCCTTCTCCCCATTGGAGGTGGCCATCAGCTTCGGCGACCGCTCCGATGACTACTCCAACAACCTCTCCGGTGATTGCTCTAATGATTTCTCTAACTACCGCTTTGACGACTGCTCTGGCTCCGACAATAGAAAAATCTCCAAAATTTGAAAACAAATTTTCTCTCTATACTCCATTGTAGAAAATCTCCAAAAATGTATCTGTTACCAGATTTATTGTTTGTGGATATGCATGTGTTTTATGTGACTATTTGTGATTAAATTTATTTTTGCTATGACTGCATGTAACTGTATAATTTATAATTGTATGTAACCAATTTATTGACATATATTTATTGTGATTAAATGTATTCAAATTTGTCTTTGACGTGACTAACTGTAATCAAATTTGTATTCACTGTGACTGTCTATGATCAAGTCAATCTTAATAGTGACGATATGTGATCAAGTCATAATTAACATAGAATTGGTCACAAATTTCACAACAAACACATATTTGACCATAAAGAATCACCACAAACAAATCTTCACACACCACAGACCAGCGCCACAATCTATCACCAGTCACCACCACCATCACCTTCAACTTTACCACATTTACTGGCCTAGATTATATGTAACTAGTTGTCACCAACTTTGTTTTCAGCGTGCTTGTCTATGACCATATCAATCTAACTTGTGACCGTAGTTATATACAGTCACGGTTAACATACGTTTTGTTACAAACAGTCACAATAAAGGTAGACGTGGTCACATGTGATTTTTTTTGTCACCACTACTCCCAAAAACATAAAAAACTAGACGCACACCACTTCATCAAAACCACATACACCACCAGTAGTAGAAACATCGTCGTCTACACCACTACCAACATAAAATATAATTTATCTGAAATATGTCTTGCTCTATGTCAGGGAACGGACACCATTTTGGTTATCGCATTATGTACAAATAGCATATTCTTTTTTTTCTTTTTCTTTTTTTTTTGGTATTTTCACCCCTATTTCCACATTTCATTGCAAAATCATCATTTTCAATCCAATTTCGAAATAAAAAGTTATGCAACGACAAATATACCATCTTATTTAAAGTAAAACAAAAAGAAAATCAAAGAACTAAATGCAATCATATTGCCATTTTTTTAAAGTGCAAACGAATTCCAAATATATTATTAAAAAATGAAAAAATAAATTCTCTTTCTTTCACCTTCTTCCTCCTCCTCATCTTCTCCCACCATCACTTAGAGAGATACCCCATTTGACTTCTACTGTAAATTTCTTCTCGGCGACCTAATACCACACCAAAATCATAATTTTTAAAATTTGTAGTTTTAGTTGTAAAGATTCAGGAGTTAATTGTTCCAATAGTCATCGAATTTATATCTACGTTTTTTTATTGCTCATTGAAATTTAAAATGTCAAGTTTTGGTCACTAAACTTCGAAAAATGTTGTATGCTATTCACTGGCATTAAATTTCATCTCGAATCTTTAATGGAATTGATGATGTGGTTAACAGAATGTACATGTGGCTCCCCATCACACTGTTAAACTTTGACATAGTCGAATTTTGGCCACTAAATTTTTAAAAACATCATCTATTACTTACTATAAATTTGGATTTAATTAAGCACCCGTTTATCTCAATTTAAAACAAAACACTTCAATTTTCATATTCATTTTTAACCATACGTTTATACAATAAAAAATTTTAAACGTAGCATTAAAATTTTTTTTACAACTTTTTGACCTCATACTCTCAAGAAAAATAATAATAAATAAATAAATTTAAAACTCTTTTTTTTTAAATAATGGCCATCAAACAGGAATTAAAATTCGTTGTAAAAATTCGAATTTAATTTAATTTTACAATAAATATATTGTGTGTTTCATTGCAATTAGCACTCACTTCCTTTGCACAGCTTCGTAACACGTCTTTTATTGCTCACAATAAATTTGGATTTAA